CTTCCTGTGTCTTTAAACGAGACTCCCGGCATGCATGGCTGCGTGGGCGCTAGCTTAGCACGCGTGCAACCCGATGCATAATACATTCGGATGCAACGAGTGCAACGGAGCAACGCCGTTGCCAGCGCCGTGACCAAATTACTAGAGACGCACGAATCGGAGACGTCGTTTGCCCCCTCTTCGCGCCGAACCCTTCCGCATATTTCCTGCCTTGCGAAAGCTCAGTTACAAACCTTGACAATCGGAGATTATATACAACTAGGCTGTCGCGAGTGTCTCGTGATTAAATACGACTGAAGTCTCTCACGAGACACAAGCCACGGAACTTGAAAGTGCAATCCTTACATTTTCAATTCGCGTTCCTCGCAAATGAAATCACTCGAACGGGTTTTCCAATCCGACGTTAAATCTCTGTTAATAAATTCTCTCAGCGCTGGATACTGAAATGCGGCGGGCATAATTATTCGACGAGTCTCGGCCTGTCGGTGTTTCAGCCGCGACCTTTTTTAAATTAGCTTTAAATCCAGCTTAGCGAGCTTTCTTCCGGTTGTACTCTTCCTCGCGCAATGCCGCGAGTGTTGGCTTTTTCTTTCGCCCGATACGATCCAGTCTAGACGAACTTTTGTAATATCAAAGTCAGTCCCGTGTACACGCAGACAAACGACGAGATCAGTCCTCCTTGAGAAAATCACACGCTTTTATCTCCGTTTCTACTTCCATCGGGCGATGAGAAATGAGGGAAACGCGTCGCAGCGCTTCTCCGCCGAGGATCAAGATTGCACCACTATTTTCCGATGTAAGCCGTTGTAATTTTTGTCCATGACATTTTCAAGGTTTTCGCTGAAGCGAAATAATTGTAAAATAAAGACGGCACGAGGAACGTGATTCTTTTAAAGCAACGATGTAGAAGGCCTTTTTATCTAAAGGTGCACTTTGTAACAAAGTAAGGAGCTCGAGAACCACAGCTGGATGTCGCTTGCCGAAATGTACTTGCAAAATTTATCAACCAGCTGCGGCTTCCATTACTTTGTTACAATTCATTATTCAAATCATCGGAGCCTCGTTTAATCTTGAACGTATGTTTCTTATAATAGTCGGAAAATTGGACGCTGCCGAGGAATGAAAAGCAGATTGTTTGTTTCTTGTCGCTAAATACAGAACAAAATTTGATTCGCTGTCGCGAATAAAAATTTAAGAATGCCCCTTCCTCGTGAAAAATTACCTTTCATTGTTGTCCAATCTCACTCGAAGGCTATTTCGCCAGGCTCCATTCACCTATATTCCTAATGAAATGAATCGCGTCACCGTTTATGGATGACGGCGCATTCCTTTTTTGCATACAAATGGACGCAGCGTTCATATTCGTTGATTGAATTGAGCTCCGTGGCCTCTGCCGAGGATAAATTTCGCATTCGTCGAGGTCGTCGCAGAGTTCGCGGCGGAAATCGATCGGTTAGGGTGCAAGACGGATAGAGAGAAAGCATAACGTGAGAAAGGAAACATCGGGTGCTGCCCCTTTCCCCCTCCCCCTTCTCTCTCCTCCTCGTTCGCATGCTTACAACCGTAACGCTTGCAACCCCTTCTGTCTGACACACGCGCACGCGGAGAGAGACAAGATTGAATAAAACTATTCAAATCGTTTTGCCATTTCAATTTTCTTAAACCAAATAAAATGCGTAATAAAAGTTTCCGCCGAGAAAGAGATGAAAGCAAGCGTGTGCAGCCCTTTTGTCTAGCTGAGAAATATGTGAACAAAACTCTGAAAATTGTGCTTGCCATTCCAATGTTCCTGAAAAATGAAATATTTTATAAGAACAGTCTAATTCAATCAAGAAAAGGACGAGAGCGCGCAAAATAACAACGGTTTCGAAAATAGAAATTTCGGTCGGAATTTTAGAATAGAATATTTGATCGCAATTGCCGGTTCGAATGTCCTCCAGCGCGCACAATGGAGAAAATATTTCACTTTAAACAAGAGAACGAAATTGATTAATTATTCCTAATTCTTAATTCATTATTCGCGATGGAGTTGATTCAATCCTTCTCTCGCTTTGCTATGAAATAATTTCAATTTTCTAACGTAGACATGATTAATTAATACGATTAGTCCAACATACGCGTCGATTATCGCAACGAGTCTGATCCGACTGATTGAGACATCGCGGTTTAACGCGCCTAACTTTCCAACATAATTTACGATCAAAGTCGCAATTAAAGTGCCATTAATTATTCCATTTCTAATGGCAGAACATCGGGGAAGTTCAGGAGGGAAATGAATGGTTTCGCGCCGTCATAAAGAGTTAACGGCTCGGAGACTTTCCTCGCGCGAAACAGGTTTTCGCGCGTCTTATTTCTCATCTTCAAACTCGCTTATCATTCGGCTGTAATAATCAGGAAGCGGGGAGAGGCGGTGTCAACGCGTCGCGCGCGCGGTTCTGCTTGTATCGGGACACACGATAGTGCAGCGCGGTGTCATCTTTTGCAGGCGATGGTGCCTCCGCCGTCTAATAATAAACGGGTCGACCCATTGTCGGAATATGGGTCGAGCGTTCTGGCATTTGCCGTGTGGCACCGAACCATCAGTTTCTATGTATGCGCGTATTTACCGCACACCGTATTTACTGCAACAATGTTGCGGGTGGCAGAGCAGTTTCCAAGTCCTGCGGCGAACGTCGTCGACGAATGAATGAGCCGGAGATCGCGGCAACATAGTTATTAACTTCGTACTCCGGAATGCAAGTTTCGAAGCTCGCGGGAAATAAATCAAGATGCGGGCGGCGCGGCCGGGACGCGCCGCAACATTGTAAAGCCGGAGCGACAATTTTTCCGTTCCTCCCCTTTTCTCTTTTAAACGTCTCGCATTTTCGAAGTTGCGGACGATCGCGGGGAAGAAGAAGATTTAATTCCGCGAAACTTCTGGGAAACTTCGGGTGAATTCGCGAAGGCATTTTTCCACGTTGAATTTAAGTGGGATTCTAACTCCGTTAACAGAATTTCAACGCGGGGTTTAATTACAAGAATCATAAATAAGCAGTCGTTTAATTAAAACAAAAAGGAAACAGAGAAAGGTATCTAGTCGCGCGGTTTGATTGCCTTTCGCGCGGCAGATAAACGCCAGAATTTATCGTTCCAGTTCCGCGTACGAGTTAGATTTGCGGTCCTTCGTCCCTACATTATCGGGTCGACATGCCGGAGCCGAGCGATCTTTCGTTGCACACGCGTTCGTGATACACGCACGCACACACGCACGCACACACACACACACACGCGCGCGCGCGCACGCACACTCGTATCGCTCCGATGCGACAGTCGGATTTGTGGCTTTCGGCGAAACCATTTCCACGTTTTCTCGCGTAACATATTTTCCCGCAAAAAGAGACGGAGGGATCGGCGGTGGCGACGGTCAGAGGTGGTCGTGTGGCAATTTCGTCGCACGTAACGCAATTATACGCCAACGGTCCCGGCCCCGCATTCGCGGGCATAATCGAATCGTTTCGCGATACGCGGGGAACCGTATTTATAATTCACCGAGGCGAGTGTTCCTTGCAAAACGCGTGGGAAACGGACGAAAGCTGAGGCACCAGATGAGACCATTGACGCTTCATCGGAATTTGCCAATGTTGCGTTATTGCATTCGCTCGCAAAATTGACGAAGCATTTTCACTACTTTATAAAATCTATTTTTTGTTCTGTTTTTTTTTTAATTAAAAGAAGAGAGAGCAAACTCTTTCCGTTTGAGTTGATTTCGGAATTAATGTTTTTGTACAACACGAAATATTTCAAGCGCGTTTCTAGTATAAAAATCAACAATTTTTCAACCATCTGTATAAATAAAAAGAAACGTTCCTGGAAATTGTAAGAGCTCGATTGTTCATTATTCGATTGTTTATCTTCACTCGTGATAATGAACGCATCCGGTGAGGCGCGATAGGGAGAGGCCGTTGAACCTTCCGCCTTTCCTTTTACGAATATTAATTATCGAATTAATGGACAGCGTGCTAATCTATCTTACTAAAACGGAAGATCGTCTTAAGTTAATATCGCTTCACCTCGGGCTCTTGCGGAGGTTGTACGAAGTTAGGACGGTAAGGAATGATTAAAGTCTCGGAAGGGTCCACCTAGCGGCCTCCAGAAGGGGCACCTAGCCCCGCGGATTAACGCTGAACGAATCAATTAGGCGGTTAGTTGGGTCGAATAATTGCACCGGGGATCGAGGAGGCCTAGAAATTTTTTTAAACGTCCATAGAAAACAGTGTGTTCAAATTTCCTCATAAGCAGGTGCAAGTTTTACGAAACTATTCTTTATAGAAATATGATCTCTGCAGAATGTTTTGAATTTGCATTGGTGTGCTTATATTTACATTCGAAACTTGTATTGGTGTACTTTGAGCGCATATTTTAATATTGCAGACTCAATTTTTACTCAAATAAACCGCTCTTAATTTTTTACTGCCTGTAAATTCGGATGTTTGAAGTTAACACTTTGACACCAAAGTAGTCACAGTTCTGAGGTTTTATACGCTTCTTTTTGAGATACATTAGAGTTTGTGATGAATAAAAAACATTTTTTTATATTAGATAAAAAAATTCAATTTTAAATTGATCAGATTAGTTCTTGCTTAATGAAAATATTTCTATGCACGTTTAAAAGTTCCTCAAATTCCGAAAATTGTTACATTACGAATCGAAGCATACGATCAATAATTAAAAAGATATTTAATCTACTTTAATACTACTATTAAAAATAAAAAAAAAAAACCAAATATTTTGTTCAACTTTTTATTCAAGCTTTTATTTATTAGACTAACGCTACATGAAAACAATTTCACTGTGCGCGAGCAAACTAGCAAAGAAATTCACTTTACATAATCTTTTGTATGAATATAAATTTATGCTTATATATTCTAAAAATTATTCAATCAACGCGGACAAGTCGGACAACGATTATCTATGCCCGCGAGCTATAAAAAGGCTGCAGTAATAATTTCTTTTTGTTTCAGGTAGCATGCAAGCACGCGAAACGCATTGTCCGCCGGTTACAAGGCGATGAGACGCCTGAATGGAGTCAGAGGAAGCCTCAGAGCCCCCTGGGGCTCCCATCGACGTTCTATTGACAGAGCAGCGCAGCCGGGTCAATCTTATCACTGCACTTAAGCCGATCTGAACCAACCGCATCTCGCCATTTACACCGACAGACATCCGGATTTCCATTTAATCGTCGCGCCGAGGGGAACAAAATAAAATCTGGAACAGAAGATATCAGTGAAACGTTTCGTGCGATCTGAACGGCACAGATTCCGAATGCCGATATAGTGAAACCTATGCCAAAGATCTATTTACGTCAGTCGATTCGCGCGGGGGAGCCTCGATAGATCGCGATCGCGCGGGATCCGAGGAAAAAATTCAATCGAACGTGAGACAAGCAGACGTGGATTAATCAGGACTACGAGATGGCGGCGCCGGTGATCGAGAAGAAGCGCTTCTTCTGCCGAGAATGGGCCTTCATGAAGCTGTCGCATTGCCTGGAGCAGCGGCCGCAGTCGAAGACCTGCGGTGCCCTGATCGTGGGCGGGCCGGGCAGCGGCAAGACGGCGTTCTGCGCCGAATTAGCGTGGCCTTCGAACGGCGCTTCCGCGAGGCACCAACGCTCGCTGAATCGCCGCCTGCTCGCCCGGCACTTCTGCCAGGCCAGAAGCGAGGCCTCTCTGTCGCCCGCTCAGTTCGTGCGATCTCTGGTCGCGCAGCTGCTGCAGGCGAGCTCGGACGGCGTTCATCATCATCAGCATCATCATCATCGATCGTCGTCCGTGCCAGCGACCTCGCCGACGACGTCCGCGACGGCGACCACGACCACGGTCACCACGACGATGCCCGCGGCAACCACGACAACGATAGCGACGACGACGGCGACAACGACGACGGCGACGCCTACGACCGTCGTCGTGGTCGCGCCGCCGCTCACCTCCAAGGAGGCCGTCGCGGAGGCCTACGCCGAGAAGCTGCGCACCGATCCCGAGATACAGGCGGCACTGCAGCCGGACGTTTTGGATCGCGATCCGGACGACGCCTTGAAAAAGGCGCTTCTGTTCCCGCTGCTCGAGGTGGAGCCGCCGAAGAACTGTCTCTTCCTGCTGGTGGACTCCATCGACGAAGGTCAGACGTTGAATCCACCGCAGAGCGGCACCAGGGACTCGAGAAGGGAAAATGACAATGTCAGTCGCACGATAGCTGAATTACTGGCTAATCACCACCATCTGTTCCCACAGTGGCTCTTGTTAGTCTGCACCGCGCGGCGACAGAGTAAGACCATCTCGCGCATGTTCACCGGCTTTCGCAAGATCTCGCTGGACGATCTGAGAAAGTCCCAGGTCGTCAGGGACGTGCAGCAGTATATACTCGCGCGCTTGGATCAGGAGGACGCGCTCAGGTAACGATAAGATTTTTAAATCGTCGTATATCGCCACTGTGAGATGCTCTTAGTTGATTAATTATCCGTGAATCTATATTAATTGTTTATCATATTCTTTAAATCACGTTAAAGTCGCGTTCTTGTCGCCAATTTTTTTTTTTTTATTTTTAAATGAAGTAACGGCTTACTAAATTTTAATATTTAAAGTAACTAACTAAAAAATTTTGA